CCATAACGAATAACACCCAGCCTACCAAAGAGGCCCCACAACATTTATCTACCTGCAGGGGTGTACCCAGACACCCCTACACCCCTTGCTTCGTAGCCACCGACGTGCTCGAACCTACCAAACACTTTAACTCCGGCCTACTCCAGCCTAGACCTTGGCCTAACACTTTCCTAACCCACAAAATTCCTGTTTTACCAAGCCCTTTTTCCCGCCGTTGTGACCAAACGGGAACACAACCAAAATATATATAGGGAGGGTGGAAGGGACAACTCACAGGTAAGGGCAGCTCAAATTAAAATGGCCTAAACTTAAGATGGCTGCTATTTAACAGGCTAACTCTCCTCCCCACTCATTAACCTAAACCCACCCCTTGACCTACAATTCACCTGCCAACTTTCTGGCCCTGCCAAGGCCCACTCCCCCCCTGCGTTGCTCCGTGGGCTTCATACATACTGACAGACATACATACATACACACACACATACTGACAGACACATACATACATACATACACACACACATACATACATACATACTGACATACATACTGACAGACACATACAAGCATACATACATACATACATACATACATACATAAAGGCATAAATGCATACATACACACACACAATTAATTTTTCAGCCACCCTCCTGCAATGCAAAGGTAAGGAAAACGAGGGTGGCTGAAAAATTAATTGGAGATGCCATACATACATACATACATACACACAAACATACATGCTGACAGACACATACTGGCATACATACATACACACACACATACTGACAGACACATACATACATACATACATACAGACATACATACATACACACACATACTGACAGACACATACATACATACATACACACACACACACATACTGACAGACACATACATACATACATACATACACACACACATACATACATACATACTGACAGACACATACTGGCATACATACAAGCATACATACATACATACATACATACATACATAAAGGCATAAATGCATACATACACACACACAATTAATTTTTCAGCCACCCTCGTTTTCCTTACCTTTGCATTGCAGGAGGGTGGCTGGAGATGATGGGTGTCGGCTGCCTCTCCTCTTGACATTCAGACTGTGTCCTCCTTCCCTCTATCAAATATTCTGTACTCTGCCCTTGGGTTTTTACGTCCAAGATGCATTATCTTGCATTTATCCACATTAAATGTCAGTTGCCACAATTCTGACCATTTTTCTAGTTTACCTAAATCATTTGTCATTTGGCTTATCCCTCCTGAACATTAATCCTGTTACATATCTTAGTATCATCAGCAAAAAGACATACCTTACCATCAAGACCTTCTGCAATATCACTAATAAAAATATTAAAGAGAATGGGTCCAAGTACAATCCCATTTCTCTTGGACTCCATTTAAATACCTCCAGTCTGATAATGAACCCCTGTGCGCCCATGCCCAGGATTTAAAGGGATCACTGATACTGCGGTGATTATATATTACTCTATGAATTGTGAATTTCTCGTTTTCCTTGTCAATGAGACTTAGTGCCAGTAACTGTTTCTTTGTTGTTACTGTCGTATTGTTAGATGGCTAGTTTTCTGATTACTAATCCGGTCCAGATCTTGAATAGTTTAGGAGTCCCCGTGCTTAGCTAAATGATCCATCTGTATCACTGAATTATCATAAATGCTCTCATGTTTAAAGCACCACCATGTTCTGTAGCGCTGTACTATGGATCGTACAAGTAAAGGAGGAGACGTTTAGCTGATTATTCAGACTTAGAACAAGCTCACAGACCGACATTGCTCAATGTCTATAGCAGTTTCAAGGAGACCTATTCAGTACAGATGGGGTAAAATTATAGAAAGTCTGGGGTTTATTCACTAAACCCTGAATTACAGATATACAGGGTAGAGTAGCCAAGCTGTATGATATGGTAATTATCTAAGTGTTACAATGCTGTGATCAGTTAACTACCATCCAGTGATTTGTAAATAGCCTCACCCCAAGCCAATCCAATCTGTGAGTGATTCTTAACCTGCGCTGAGCAGCGTGAGCGCTGTGTGTTTAGTAAATCCCGCAGCCTGTTGTATCATGATTGGTTTGATTAGTATTTACATTTTTAGAATGTTCGATTATGGAATTAAATGATGACATCAGTACTGATTATCGAATGTGCCCATCGCATAAACTGTCATCTGCACCGATTTATTAAGCAATAAGTGCTGTAATTGGTGTAATCACAGCATCGCTGGAGGGAATAAAGAGAATAGATTGATAGCAATTATCAATGAAAAATCTCTTTCTGATTGACAAGATGTGAGCAGCGAGACTCCACACACAGTCTCCTATGTCCGTTCTACTCATTAGAGGCTGCGTCTAATCATGGGGTGCACGTGGGTGCCATAATGCCACGTGGTGTGTGACCCCAATACGCCATTAATTATATATATATATATGTCAATATAAACATCCATTGGAAAAAAAAACAGTGTGGGTCAGCAGTCAATATAGCAAGATAAATAAAGCAAACCATTTCTAAACATCGGCTCCTTCCATCCGATTAGAGTTAATATCAGGAAAGTACCTCCGTACAGTCAGTCTCCACACCTCTATAATTATCTTTGCAGCGCACAGATTCTAAGCATTAACCTTGCTCGAATGTTTTACTTTTTTCTCTGAAAAATAAAAGCAGGAATAATATGTAGTTTTCTCCCGTAAGAGTAATTTCTGGTTGCAAAGTGTGTTTTATGGCAAAGAGCCATTTAATGAGATCCTGTGTCTTTCCTCATTTTTGGAAACAGGGGAGGTTGAGAAGCAGGAAAATACTGCTGCAATGCACGTAACTTAAAAGGTTTCCTTAGTGTTTAAATTCAAAGTGCTACTTAGCGAGCAAAGTGTGTCATCGAAAACCCTGTGGCAAGTAAAACAGTGTCCCTTGCATGCTTTCCTAAAACAATCTTTTATTTATCAACTTCGTGATCATTACAGAATGGGAGCAAACACACGGACAAAGCGTGGCACACGGGTCAGGAGTGCTAACCTCCGGCACTGGCTGAGCCACATGGGAGTTGTAGTCTACAGCATCTGGTTTCACATCCCCAATTGCCATTCTGAAAACTCGCAGACATAGCCTGTAATCCCACACTATGACTCTGACTGTTCATTTTCTCGTCTTTGAAAGTGCTGCGTAATTATGGCGTGACGCCAGACCCAGAAATTGGGAGACCCAGGCCTCCCGACATTCCTCATTTTACGGTCCCGCCGTGCTAATTATTATTTATTTATTAATCATTTTTTGCAGGATACCAGGTAACTGTGTCCTCATGTCACTGACGAACCCCGTCCCAATCTCATACCTCCCAATAGTGAACTTACAAAAGAGATGGTAAATCTCCAGACAGGAGCAATTCTCCAAATCGCTTTCTTTGTTTGTTTGTTTTTCAGCCATTTTGGACAAAAAGTAGCAATTCTCTAAAAATCCCAAATGAGTGATTATCCCTAAATCATAAAAATGTGATTAACCTCCAAAAACAAATCTGTAACAAAATAAACATATAATGGACATTTCCATGAGGTTCTACGTTATTTTCGAAACCCTGATCAGAGTTTGGATGACAGATTACTCCAATGATATGAAGTCACAGCTAGGACCCAGTATTCAGACTGAAGCTCTGTTGCAAAGTACCAGATTTTCATTTTTTTTACTTCTATGGGAACGCTACACTGCAAACTTGTATTCCTGTCTCTGTAGTGTTAGGTCACCGGCCCTACCTCCCCCTCTTAAATAGAGAAAAGGGACACTTGAAGCACCATAACCACTGCAGCATGCGGCAGTTGTTCTACCATCCCCCGTTGTCAAACCATTCTACAAGCTCTAAGCATTAGATTCCAGATCTGTGGATGATGTAGAGAAGAGGTGGAGCGAGACCCGGCAGATCCCAGGTAAGAAGTCAGTCCATTTTAGGATGGTTTCACTACTTACAGTGGGAAGACATGAGCTATAATGGTTATGGTACTTGGAGGGTTCCTTTAAGGTTGGGCTTCGCTAGGTTTCATTATGATAAAGGGTAAGTGTGGCTTTAAGGACAAAATCTGGTTTTGCAAAGTAATCTTATTAATTAAAAAAGGGAAAAGGTTTGGGCATGCTAGTGTTTTAAAAGGTTAGTATTTGACTTATTAAAGGGACACTATAGTTACCAAAGCAACTTTAGCTTAAAGGGACACTATAGTCACCAGAAATTTGTTCTGGTGAGTAGAATCATTACCTTCAGGCTTTTTGCTGTAAGCACTTTTCAGAGAAAATGCAGTGTTTACATTACAGCCTAGTGATAACTTCACTGGCCACTCCTTGGATGGCTGTTAGAGATCCTTCCTGGGTCATGGCTACCTAAAATGCATCCAAACATTCAGTGTCTCCTCCCTCTGCATGCAGACACTGAACTTTCCTCATAGAGATTCATTGATTCAATTCATCTCTATGAGGAGATGCTGATTGGCCAGGGCTGTGTTTGAATCATGCTGGCTCTGCCCCTGATCTGCCTCTTTGTCAGTCTCAGCCAATCCTATGGGGAAGCACAGTGATTGGATCAGGCCACCACTTCTGATGATGTCAGCAGACTGTTTTTTCTGAGGCTAACAGGATGCAGAGCTACAGCTTCAGGGTTGAATACAAGTAAGATTTTGCTATATTTAGGGAGGCATGAGGGGCCCAGGGGTGCTAGATGGTGGTTTTAACACTATAGGGTCAGGAATACATGTTTGTGTTCCTGACCCTATAGTGTTCCTTTAACTAATCTGTTTTGGTGTTTCTATCATGCCTCTGCAGTATCACTACTCAATTCTCTGCCATTTAAGAGTTAAATCACTTTGTTTATGCATCCCTAGTCACACCT